AATGTTATGTCTTGAGTATCAGAAAAGACTGGATATTTGAACATTTTGGCTGTTAAAGATTGTGAAAATTATGAAGTTAGATTTAAAGCATTTTCATTTCTTTTTGTTTATTCTCTTTATTTATTCTTCTCTCATAGAGTACATCCTGATCACAGCCTCATCCCTGTCTAAACTCCTTAGTCCCCAACATTCCCTCTTTCCCAGATCCACTGTTCCTCTTTTTCCCTTCAGAAAGAGCAGGCCTCCTAGAAATGGCAACAAACATCATGACAAGATACAATAAGACTAGACACAAACCTTCATATCCATGAATGTTTACACAACCCAGGAGAAGGAAAATAGTACCAAGAGCAAGCAAACAAGTCAGAAACACTCTTACAGTTAGCAATCTCTCAAAAACACCAAGCAAAGCAACCACAGTACACATTGAGAGAATAGAACTCAAACACTGCAAGCTCCATAATTGCTCTGTCAGGCTCTCTAAGTCCTTATGATCCTGCTAAGTTGACTCTGTAAATTGTGGGATTTTGCTATCTTTCACACCTCTGGCTTCTAAAAAAAAAACCTTCATCCAAATTTCTGCTTGTTTCCAAGTGTTTCAGCTAGTGTTTGAGTGAAGTTCATTGCATCTGCCATAATCAATTTTCAAAGAAAGGACCTTTGTTTAAAGTTGGGCTAGGAAACAATCTATGATTTTATCAGATTAGAGTTAGGAATCCTTATATTGACTCTTATTTTCTCTTTTGTTACTTGTATTTTGTTCTCCTCTAAATTCTGAACCATTGAACTTCTCGTTCCTTGCCATCCAGGCAGTGCTGGACATGGGTTGCCTCTTTTCACTTAGGCCTCAAGTTAGTTCAGTCATTGGTTTGCCACTACACCAATTTAAACCACCAATTTCCTGGTATATCTTACAGACAACACAACTCTGGGTCAAATATTTTGTGGCTGGCTTTATTTTCCCACCACAGAGGACTATAAGTCATTAGAGGAGATGACAGGTTCAGGCTTCAAATTCTTAGTTACTGGAAGTCCTTATTAGGGCTGCCATCTTAGCCTGCAAAAAGTTTTTACTGTATTAGGTTTCCACATCAACCTTAATAGTATTCCTATTCCAGTTATCTAGCCCTGTATATTCTCCCTCCATCCCTCCATTTATCCCATGATTGTTACTGTTACTATTCTTTGTTCATCCATAAAATCTAGTCTATTTCCTCTTTTCATGTGGACTCCAAGCATCCCCTGCTACAGCCATTCTTGTTACTTACCCTCTCTGAGTCTGGATTGTAATGTGATTATTCTTTACTCAACTGCAAATATCCACATATATATGCGTGCATATCATGTTTGTCTGTGTGGTTCCAGATTTACTCTCTCAGACTAAAATAGAACTGAGGAAATTGAACATCAACAAATCAAATAATCAAATAAAAATGTGTTACACACCAAAATAAAGAATTCTAAATAGATTAATTTAACTGGCTTAAAAACACATAAATAAGTGTTCAACATCCTTAGCCATCAAGGAAATACAAGTCAAAAGTACTTTAATGATTCATCTTATACCTGTCAGATTAACTAGGATCAATAACACAAGTGACATCTCATGCTGACAACAATATGGAGAAAAGGGAACACGCCCCCCCCCCATTGTTACTAGAAATGCAAACCTGTATAGCCAGTATGGAAATCAATATGGCAATTCCTCAGATAATTGGGAATCTGTCTACCTCAAGACTCAGCTATACCACTGTGGTAGTTTGAATATAGTTTGCCCCAGTAATCTCCTAGGGAGTGGAAGTAGTAGGAGTTGTGACAGTTCTGGAGTTGGCATGGTCTTGTTGGAGGAAGTATGTCACTGTGGGTTTTCGAGGTCTCTTATTCTCAGGATACTTCCCACTGTGTCAGACTATGTCCTGTTTCCTGTGAGTCAAGAAAAAAGGACTCTCAGCTCCAGTATCACATCTGCCTGACAGCTTACATGCTCCCAGCCATGATGATAATTAACTCAGCCTCTGAAATTGTACGTGAGCCACCTCAATTAAATGTTTTTGTTATAAGAGTTTCTCTGTCATGGTGTCTCCTTATAAAAAAAAAATTCTAAAAGAGGAATTGATCCCAGGGACTTGAATTTTGCTGTTCTAGTCCTAACCATGCTTTTGTTTAGAATAATAAGGTCTTTGATTCTTTGGCTTAAGAAAAGGACAGAATGCAATTCACATGGCCTACAGGCAGAATCATACTAGGAGGAGCATGGGAGAGAGTGACCTTGATAATATGAAATATCAGGAGCCAGCTCAAGAGGTTTCAGAGAAGAATTTTACTATGTTCTTTCAAAATTATTCTTGTGATATTTTGGTGAAGAAAGTGCCTTGGTTCAAAAAATCTGCCTGAGGCTAAAGTAAGGAGATTTTGATTAATTTCATTGGCAGAAGAAATCTCAACACAGCTTAAGATAGACTAAGCCAAGTGGATATTAGTGGTAACTCTACTGAAGATGCATAATAAAAAGAGCGGCTGAACAAGGAAACATACTTGAGGTGATAAGGGCTGGCCAGTACAGGCTCCATATTTCTCAGTTAAAGGGAGTCCTCACTATAATAACCCTCAAAGATTGCAGAAAGTTGTTACTGCTCTGTTTCAACATCAACCCTTGAATGCTTTCCTATTCTAGTAATTTTTTGCTGTGTTTCCCCCTTCATATACCTCTGCCTTCTGAATCATAGCACTGCTGGTGGCTGTGTTTCTGTAATGAATAATTGGGAATTTATCTACCTTAAGACTCAGATAAACCACTCTGATAGTTTGAATGTAGTTAGACCCAATAATCTCCTAGGGACTGGCACTATTAGGTGTGGCTTTATTGGGCTGGGTTATGGCCAATCAGGTCAATATCATGATTGTTATAAGAGACGTCACATTGAAACATTTCAGGAAATGTTCCAGCCTATGATCCTCATGGAAGTTAGACTAAATACATGGGATGACTATGAATATGTATGGATCAGGGTCAGAATGTAGTTGATCAAAGGAAAAGGTGCCAGATTAGAAGTGGTTGAACACTTGTCTCACTGGGGTGCTCTTCTTTGTTGTATTTGTGGAACATTTAGTAGGAGGAAGGTTTTGGATAAAACTCCTATTGAGGATTGGATTTACATATTTATAGCCTCAACCCATTTCTGGTTATGTGTGTCCTGCTCTCGTGTCTTCACCACCATTATAGATGGTATCACTAAATTACATAACATTCTGTTGAAGCAATTGCTATTCACTCTTCAGCCTTTTGCTATCCTGATTTCTATTTTAATTTTTTTGTTTTTACTTTTGTTCTTGAAAGACAAAATTTTTCTATGTAGCTCTGGGTCCTGAACGTAGCTCCTTAGACCATGCTGTCTTCCACTGAGAAATACAAATAATCCTGGCTTCTGCACAGAGGGATTAATTGCAAAGCAACATACTTGGTTTTGTGTGTGTATGTGTGTGTTTATGCATTCTTTTATTGTCTGATAAGCCTGGAATGTAGGTTTTTTTGTACATTTCAAGGATAAGTTTCTATGCTGAACTTCAACTACATCTTGAAATTTGAAGCTTGGTAGAGGGTCTCATTTTCTTTCCCAGGAGAGTAGTATCCATGACATTAATACCTCTGCCTTCTGAATCATTGCACTGCTGGTGGCTGACTTTCGACCTGCTTCTAATATTTTTTTGTTTAGAATGCTTTCAATGAATATGAGGTTGTATCTGTATACAAAGGTGTGTACCACATGTGTGCCTGTTTCTCGTGATAGTCACAAGAGGCCTCAGAACCTATGAAGTTGAATAATGAATAATTACAAGGCCCCTTTTAGTACTGGAAATTTTGCTCACTTTTCTACAAAGACAACAAGACTGCTTAATTGCTGACCCATCTCCCTTACTCTATGTTATTTATGATCATCATTTTCAGGGCTGATGTTTTCTTTGGTCCATTTGTAACTGTTAAACATGCACTCCCTTTTTATTAAGATCTTATTATTAAAGAGTTTAAACTGGGCCACTGGGGGTTCTGGAAGATGAATGTAGAACTAAAGTGAATACAAAACTTTTTGTAGGATGTAGTAGGACATAGGTCTACTTTTCATCCCAGCCATCAGCCTCCCAGCTACCTGGCTAGTTTTACCCCCAAAATAATGACACAGAAATTATATTAATTAAATTACTGCCTGGCCCATTAGCTGTAGCCTCTTTTTGACTAACTCTCACATCTTGATTAACCCATTTCTATTAAATCTGTTTATCACCACATGACTGTAGCTTACCAGCAAGATTCTAACCTATGTCTGTCTCAGGCCGGAGATTCATGGCATCTGCCACTCAGCCCTTTTTCCCAGAATTCTGTTCTGTATGCTCTGCCAACCTAAGGGCTGCCCTATCAAAAGGCCAAGGCAGTTTTCTTTAATAACCAATGAAAGCAACACAAATACAGAAGGACATCCTACACCAGTAAGAACTTCAGTAGAACTTCTGATTTCTTTTTACATTTTTATTTGCATGATTTTTAGATGGATACTGGGTTTTATTAATTTGTAACTCTGGCTTGTAACTCATTGCATAGGCTTTGGCTGACATCCAACTCAATTTAATTCATCTTCTTTTATGTTGATTGCTGGAATTAAAGGCAAGAGTCACTATACCAAATTTTCCCATCCCTTTTCTAGATAATCATTGTTCTTACTTTTTCTGTAATGTTTTCTCATTAGTGTTGATCTGCTTACTTGTCTGTCTCTGTATGTCTGTTCATTGGCATTTCTTTCTCAAGGATGTATCCTATTTAAAGTGTCAGTGAATGGCACATATGAACCTCCTCTTTAGTTTCCTTCTAAAGTGACTGGGGATCACATTATAATATACTGTCATGGAATAAATGTGGAAAGCATCAGCATTATACAAATATATCATTTTAAAAGAAGTATTCAATGTCAGGACCACACTTTGTTTTATTGTTGATTGGATTCTTCTAGAATTCAGTGACCTATGAGGATGTGCACATTGACTTCACTCAGGATGAGTGGGCTTTGCTGAATCCTTCCCAGAAGAGTCTCTACAAAGATGTGATGCTGGAGACATACAGGAACCTCACTGCTATTGGTAAGATTGTGAACTTTCCTTCTCATCTTAAAGTAAGGGGACAAGTATGTATTATTATTGATACTTTTGCATATTTGTGTTTGAGAAAGAGTAAGAATGAGCCAAATAGCTAAGACATAGTTCACTTAAGAGATTCAATTTTGTACAATATCCATTAATATATTGTCTACTTTCTGTTCTTATATTTTAGGCTACAGTTGGGAAGATCATAATTTTAAAGAGCATTCTCAAAATGCTAGAAAACATGGAAGGTAATTTTTATTTGCAACTTGGTATATATTTATCTCTTAAGAAATTTTATTTTGTCCCGGAAGATTCAAAGTAAAACAATACTATAAATAAGCACAGCTTAAAGTATATTAATGATTATTAATTTCTCATAAAATCATATGCCTCCGTATGAGGTCGATGTATTCAAGGCATTTCTATAGAAACAGAAGAGAAGGAAAGGATTCCTTAACTGATACCACCATTTGAATCATAGACCCATGGCAACCATTCTGTAGAGCTGCCAATCCATTTAGTTTCATACCATTCAGATATTGCACAAGGAACACATTGTAGTATACACATTGAATAGATAATAAGTATATGTTTAAAACTTTCCAAAAAGAATACTCTGTAGTAAAGCCTGTGTTATTCATGTACTTGTGACTTTGCCAAACTTGCTGAAAAAGTTAGTTCATGAGAGTCAAAAAAGCTCTTGTGGAGAAACCTTAATTTCTATACCACATGTCTATGAGGAACAGAAAGCCAAACTGTGTGAATTCAATGGACAATTCTTGTTCCTTCAATAAGAATGTCATATGTCACAATTGAGCTTACCAAAATGGAAAGAGGGACTGTATTTCCTTCAGAATAATGAGAAGATATGAAAGATAATTAGTATTTCAACACTATGTAGATTTGTTGAATATGCTATAAGATTATATTTAATGGATTTTCAAACTTCCTTAGGAAGACATCAGCAAATTCACACTAAAGATAAACCCTATGAGTGTTGGACTATATACTTACTTTTGTTTGTCTTAGTACACTGTCTTGTGGTAGGTATTGCACTACAGGAAAACATAAGAATGCAAAAAGAATATAAGATTATTTAAAACTGAGTTAGTCTAGTTGCTTTCAAATATGTAAAAAAAACTCATGAAAAATGATGCTTTAAATGTGGGCCATATATTAAAAGACTTTTACCATCAAAGGTACTTCAAAGACACAAAACATCCCATACTGAAAGATAGCACCATGAATGTAAAACTTAAAATCTGATTCCTCTTTACAATTAAACAAAATTATAAAATTAATTCATACAGATATTAAGATTCATCAGTGTAATATACATGGTAAAACTTTTACATGTGCCAATTATTTTTTCAGGTATGAAAGAAACCATAATGGAGAGAAACCCTCTGAATATACTCAATGTGTTAAAGCCTTTGCATGTTATAGTCATCTTCAAAGGCATAAAAAAATTCATTCTGCTGAGAAGCCTCATGATGCTATTCAATATGATGAAGCCTTTGCAGGTACCAGTTGTCTCCAAATAAGAACACAAGCTGGAGAGAAACCCCATGAATGTAATCAATGTGGTAAAGACCTTTCATATGTCAGAAGTCTCCAAGTTCACAAAAGAGGAGCTACTGGAAAGAAAACCCATGAATGTAATCAATGTGATAAAACTTTTTCAAAATGCTCTCAACTCCAAATACATCAGAGAACACATACTAAAGAGAAACCCTATATTTGTACTGAATGTGGTAAAACCTTTGCACATAAATATAATCTCCAAATACATAAAAGAACACATACTGGAGAGAAACCCTATACATGTAATCAATGTGGTAAAGCCTTTTCACAGCTTGGTAGTCTAAAAACACATAAAAAAATTCATACAGGAGAGAAACCCTATGAATGTGATCAATGTGATAAAGCCTTTTCATGTGTCAGTAACCTAAATGCACATAAAAAAATACATACTGGAGACAAACCCTATGAATGTAATCAATGTGGTAAAGACTTTTCATATGTCAAAAGTCTCAAAGTTCACAAAAGAGCACATACTGGAGAGAAAACCTATGAATGTAATCAATGTGATAAAGCTTTTTCCCAACTCAGTAATCTAAAAACACATAAAAGAACACATACTGGAGAGAAACCCTATGAATGTAATCAATGTGGTAAAGCCTTTTCACTGAAGAGTAATCTTCAAGTACATCAAAGGACACATACTGGAGAGAAACCTTATCAATGTAATCAATGTGATAAAGCTTTTGCAAGTCATAGTGAGCTTCACAGACATAAAAGAACACATACTGGAGAGAAACCCTATGAATGTGATCAGTGTAGTAAAGCCTTTTCATATATCAATAGTCTCCAACTTCACAAAAGAACACATACGGGAGAGAAACCCTACACATGTGATCAATGTGATAAAGCCTTTTCACAACTGGGTAATCTAAAAACACATAAAAGAATACATACTGGAGAGAAACCCTATGAATGTAATCAATGTGGTAAAGCCTTTTCACATGTCAGTAATCTCCAAACACATAAAGGAACCCATACATCTTCAAAGGCATGGAAAAAGCCATTCTGCAGAGAAGATATATGATGATATTCATTATGATGAAGCCTTTCCAGGTACCAGTTGACTCCAAATACTTTAAAGAACACAAACTGGAGAGAAACCCTATGAATGTAATCATTGTGGTAAAGAATTTCTGTAAGTCAGAAGTCTCTAAGTTCTGAAAAGACCACATACTGGAGAGAAAACCTATGAATGTAATCAATGTGATAAAGCTTTTTCAAAATGCTCTAAACTCAAAATACACAAAAGAACACATACTACAAAGAAACCCTATGAATGTAGTGAATGTGGCATAAAGTCTTTGCATGTCAATGTAGTCTCCGAATACAAAAAAGAACACATAGTGGAGAGAAACCCAACACATGTAATCAATGTGGTAAAGCCTTTTCACAAAACAGTAGTCTTTGAGAACATCAAAGGACACATACTGGAGAGAAACTTTATCAATGTTATCAATGTTATAAAGCTTTTGTGAGTCATGGTGAGCTTCACAGAAATAAAGGTACACATACTGGAAAGAAGCCCTTTGTAATTGATGTGATAAAGCTTTTTCACAGCACTCTAAACTCTAACTTCACAAAAGCCTGGCTTGTTTGAATGCTCACCTTTATAGACCTGGATGGAGGAGGGAGGACCTTGGATTTCCCACGGGTCAAGGAACCCTGACTGCTCTGGGACTAGAGAGGGAGGGGGAGGTAGGGAGGGGGGAGGAAAAGGGAGGCAGGGAGGAGGTGGAAATTTTTAATAAGTAAACAAATAAATAAAATCTTGAGGAAGAATCATACTGCAAAGAAACTCTTCTTTTTGGTTTTTTGAGACAAGGTTTCTCTGTAGCATTGGAGTCTGTTCTGGAACTCACTCATAAATTTGGCTGGCTTTTAACTCACAGAGATTTGTCTGTCTCCCATGGGCTGGATTAGAGGGGTGTGCCACCACAGTCCAGTCTGTCAAACCCTTTAGGTGCAATCAGTGTGGTAAAGTTTTCCTCTTCTTGGTAGTCTTTGTACAAGAGTAAACTTTTAGTGGATAAGAGGTCTATTTAGGTCTTTGCATATCACAGTACTCTGAGGACCTCAGAAGATTTATTCTAAAGGGAATGTGACTATCAATGTTTTGGAAATATCTTCAGCCAACACACATTTTCTTTTTTAATTTTTATTTCTTTTATTAAAAATTTCCACCTCGTTTTCTTTTCCCACTTCCCTCCCCTCCACTCTCCCCACTCTCCCTCCCCATCCTTCTCCAGGCCAAAGAACAGTCAGGGTTCCCTACCCTATGGGAAGTTCAAGGTCCTCCCTGTTCCCCCCATGTCCAGGAAGGTAAGCATCCAAACAGACAAGACTCCCACAAAGCCTGTCCATGCAGTAGAATCAAAGCCCCGCGTCATTGTCCTTGGCTTCTCAGTCAGCTTCTACCATCAGCCACATTCAGTCCGGTTTGATCACATGCTCCATCAGTCCCATTCCAACTGGCCTTGGTAATCTCCCATTAGATCTGTCCCACCGTCTCAGTAGGTTAATGCACCCCTCACAGTCCTGACTTCCTTGCTCATGTTCTCTCTCCTTCTGCACCTCATTAGGACCTTGAGAGCTCAGTAAAGTGTTCCAATGTGGGTCTTTGTCTCTATCTCCATACATCCATCGCCAGATGAAGGTTCTATGGTAATATGCAAGATAGTCATCAGTGTGACTATAGGACAAGGCCAGTTCAGGCACCCTTTCCTCTGCTGCTCAAGGAACACGCTGGGGACATCTCCTTGGACACCTGGGAACCCTCTAGAGTCAAGTCTCTTGCCAACCCTAAAATGGCTTCCTTAATTAAGATATATACTTCCCTGCTCCGACATCCACCCCTCCTCCATCCCAACTATCCCATTCTCTCAAGCTCTCCCCATCATCCCCATCTCCCTTCTCTTCCCCCATCTCTCCTTATCCCCACCTCACCCCCACCCCCGTGCTCCCAAACCCGTCCTGGCAATTTTGTCAACTTCCAATATCCAGGAGAATAACTATATGATTTTCTTTGAGTTCACCTTCTTATTTAGCTTTTCTATGATCATCAATTATAGGCCCAATGTCCTTTATTTATGGCTAGAATCCACTTATGAGTGAGTGCATACCATATTCCTCTCTTTGGTTCTGGGTTACCTCACTCAGTAAAGCGTTTTCTATTTCCATCCATTTCCATGCAAAATTCAAGATGTCATTGTTTTTTTACCGCTGAGTAAAACTCTAATGTGCATATGTTCCACACCTTTTTTAACCATTCTTCTATTGAGGGGCACCTAGGTTGTTTCCATGTTCTGGCTATTACAAATAGTGCAGCTATGAACATAGTTGAATAAATACTTTTGTCGTATGATAGGGCATCTCTTGGGTATATTCCCAAGAGTGGAATTGCTGGGTCCTGAGGGAGGTTGACGCCTAGTTTCCTGAGAAACCGCCACACTGATTTCCAAAGTGGTTGCACAAGTTTGCATTCCGACCAACAGTGAATGAGTGTTCCCCTTACTCCACATCCTCTCCAGCATAGACTATCATTGGTGTTTTTGATTTTAGCCGTTCTGACAGGTGTAAGATGGTATCTTAAAGTTGTTTTGATTTGCATTTCCCTGATCGCTAAGGAGATTGAGCATGACCTTAAGTGTCTTTTGGCCATTCGAACTTCTGTTGAGAATTCTCTGTTCAGTTCAGTGCCACATTTTTAAATTGTGTTAATTAGCATTTTAAAGTCTAGATTCTTGAGTTCTTTGTATGTTTTGGAGATCAGACCTTTGTCTGATTTGGGATTAGTGAAGAACTCCTCCCAGTCAATAGGTTGCCTTTTTGTCCTAATGACAGTGTCCTTTGCTTTACAGAAGCTTCTCAGTTTCAGGAGGTCCCAGATATTAATTGTTGCTCTTATTGTTTGTGCTACTGGGGTTCTACGAAGGAAGAGGTCTCCTGTGCCTATGTCTTGTAGACTACTTCCCACTTTCTCTTCTATCAGATTCAGTGTGGTCAGATTAAAATTGAAGTCTTTATTCCATTTGGACTTGAATTTTGTGCATGGTGATAGAAATGATTCCACTTTCATTCTTCTACAGGTTGACATCCAGTTATGTCAGCACCATTTGTTAAAGATGCTTTCTTTCTTCCATTGTAAAATTTTAGCTCCTTTGTCGAAAATCGGGTGTTCATAGGTTTGAGGATTAATATCTGTGTCTTCGATTTGATTCCTTTGGTCAACATCCCTGTTTTTGTGCCAATACCAAGCAGTTTTCATTACTGTACCTCTGTAATAGAGTTTGAAGTCAGGGATGGTAATGCCTCCGGAAGTACTTTTATTGTATAGGATTTGCCTATCCTGGGTTTTTTGTTTTTCCATATAAAGTTGATTATTGTTCTCTCAAGATCTGTGAAGAATTTTGTTGGGATTTTGATGGGGATTGCATTGAATCTATAGGATGCTTTTGGTAGAATTGCCATTTTTTACTAAAACGATCCTCACAATCCAAGAGCAAGGGAGATCCTTCCATTTTCTGGTATCCTCTTCAATTGCTTTCTTCAAAGACTTAAAGTTCTTGTCAAATAGATCTTTCACTTCCTTGGTTAGAGTTACCCCATGATACTTCATACTATTGGTGGCTATTGTGAAAGGTGATGTTTCTCTAATTTCCCTCTCTGCTTCTTTATCCTTTGTGTATGTGTGAAAAACTGATTTTTTGGAGTTGATCTTGTATCCTGCCACATTTCTAAAGGTGTTTATCAGCTGTAGGACTTCTTTGGTAGAGTTTTTGGGATCCTTTAAGTACACTATCATGTCATCTGCAAATAACGAAAGTTTAACTTCTTCCTTTCCAACTCGAATCCCCTTGATCTCTTTATGCTGTCTTATTGCTATTGCTAGAACTTCAAGCACTATATTGAAGAGGTATGGAGAGAGTGTTCAGCCTTGTCTTGTTCCTGGTTTTAGTGGGATGGCTTTGAGTTTCTCTCCATTTAATTTAACTATAGCTATCAGCTTGCTGTATATTGATTTTGTTATATTTAGTATGAACATTGTATCCCTAATCTCTCCAAGACCTTTATCATAAGGGGGGGTATTGAATTTTATCAAATGCTTTTTCAGCATCTAATGAAATGATCATGTGGGTTTTTTTTTCCTTCAGTTTATTTTTTTTTTTAGAACAACTCAGCAAAATAAAATTCCGGTTTATTGTTGGACATTGTTTCACACATACATCAAACAGGCCAAAAATAAATAAATAAATAAACAGCAACTTCATAGACAAAAAAAAAAGGAAGAAAAAAAAAGAAACCTTTAATCTCTGGCCTTTTTAACCATCTCATACAAACCAACTACTTATAGTACAGCTAGGTACATACACAAAAAAAGTTACTGGAATGCTCGGAATAAGATTGTTTTTTTGTTGTCATTTTTGTTTTTTTTTTTTACAAGGTTTTTTTCTCCTTTGAGATTATAATGAACATGGTCACACCACAAGTAAGGTCAGAAGTAGGACAGAGAACGCTCTGAAGACTGGTCTGGTCACCCGTTATCATCAAAAATGGCTGACCCCTAACAATATGTACAAAAATATAAAATGTAAATAAAAAATACACACAAATTTTCCTTTTAAAGTATTTTTAAGAAAAAAATCAGGGCCTTGGAAGTTTTGGTTTTTTCCTCCCCTGTTGCAAATTCATGTTGTGGTTTTGGTGGGTTGATGAAGAGCGCATGTCATCTGTGGGTGGCACTGCCCGCTGTTGGTGGGCAGGGCCTGCTCCTCTACTCGAAGGTGACCAAGTTTATATTCTGAGACGGGAAGTGGAGGGTGAATAGGTCACGGCGGCCTTAGTTTAGCTTGTCCTTTGCTGTCTAGTCATCCTCGTCAGTCTTCTGCTTCTTGGTGTCAACATCATCATCCTCATCGTCTTCAGCTACCTGCTTGCCCGTAGGAGCCTCAGCCTCCTCATCTTCATCTCCATCCTCTTCCTCACCGTCACCTTCTTCCTCCTCCTCCTCCTCTTCCTCCCCACCTTCTTGCTCTTCTTCATCTACCTCATTGTCGGCCTCCTGCTCCCCATTTTCCTCATTAGCATTGCCATTGGCGGGTGCGTCTCTTCCATTCTCTGCCTCCTCCACAACTTCCTTCTTCTCCTTCAAGTCCTTGGTGGTGATCTTGGAACTGGTGTCCACGGCCGCTTCTGACATGGTGGGGCACACCGGTGATCCGCTGCAGCGAGGGCGAGAAGAATCGAGTTCGAGGACTCTGGCGAGAGAGCTGCCGGAATCCGCCATGGAGGAGGAGGAGGAGGAGGGCGGGCGGCGAAGACGGCTGCAGCGAGCGCCAAGCATCACCAGGAACAATGGAAATATGGCTTTTCAGAGCAGCCAGTGGGGAACTCACTTGGTGCCAGGAGCTTTAATAGAGATTAGTGGGCGGTGCTCCACCACCCTAGGCCCCACGCCATTGGCTGCCGAAAGGGAGCGGGCGTTTTCTCATTGGCCCGATTCCGAACAATGGGCAAGTGAGCTTAAAGCGGCAGTGCCTCAGCGCGGCGCGCTGCGCAGTCCCCCGCTGCACCGTCATTCAGAGTCTAGAATTTGTTAGGTCTCAGCGAGGCCGCGGAGGGGGGGCGGGGGGATAGTGCGCGCGCGCTCCCGGCCGCGCGCTCCCGCGGCTGTTTTGCTAAGGCTTCTGAGGCAGGCAACCAAGGTGCGGCAAAGCCGTCCGCCCAGCCCCCGCCTTCCCCTCCCTCGCGACTGCTCGGAAGGAGGGGGAGGGAAGGGGGGGCGGACAGGCGGGCCCGTGAGGGGGAGGGGAAGGCGAGTGCTGGGCGGCGCTTGCCCTGGGCGGTGCCCCGCGTGGTTCCCGCGCCCATGAATGGCTCGCACCTTCGACTAAGAGTTGTTTCCGTGCGAGTGGGCGTGGATGCTGCGGAGGACGCAGGGAACTCGCTTGACGCCATCCAGGGCCGGCTGGTACGCGGGCCTCGCCCCTCCTTCAGTTTATTTATATGATGTATTACATTAATAGATTTTCGTATGTTGAACCAGCCCTGCCTCTCTGGGATGAAGCCTACTTGATCACAATGTATAATTTTCTGGATGTGTTCTTGGTTTTGGTTTGTCAGTATTTTATTGAGAATTTTTGCATCGATGTTCGTGAGTGAGATTGGTCTGTAATTCTCTTTCTTGGTTAAGTCTTTGTGTGGTTTTTGTATCAGGGTGACTGTAGCTTCATTAAAGAAGTTTGGCAATGACTCTTCTGTTTCTATTTTGTGAAACACATTAAGGAGTATAGGTATTAGCTCCTCTTAGAAGTTCTGGTAGAATTCTGCATTGAAACCATCTGGTCCAGGACTTTTTTTGGTAAGGAGGTTTCCGATGACAGCTTCTAATTCCTTGGGACTTACAGGTCTATTTAACGTGTTCACCTGGTCTTGATTTAATTTTGGTATATGGTTCTTATCTAAAAAAAGTGTCCATTTCTTTCACATTTTCCAATTTTGTGGTATACAGGCTTTTGTAGTAAGATCTAATGATTCTCTGAATTTCCTCTGTGTCTATGGTTATGCCCCCCTTTTCATTTCTGATCTTGTTAATTTGCATGTTTTCTCTCTGGCATTTGATTAGTTTGACTATGGGTTTGTCAATCTTGTTGATTTTCTCCAGGAACCAGCTTTTTGTTTCATTGATTCTTTGGATTGTTTTCTGTGTTTCTATTTTGTTGATTTCAGCTCTCAGTTTGATTATTTCCAGTCATCTATTCCTCCTGGGTGAAACTGCTTCTTGCTTTTCTTGAGCGTTCAGGTGTGCTCTTAAGTCTCTAATGTGAGCTTTCTCTATTTTCTTTATGTGGGCACTTAGTGCTATGAGCTTTCCTCTTAGCACTGCTTTTATAGTGTCCCATAGGTTTGGGTATGATATGTCTTTGTTTTCATTGAATTCAAGGAAGACTTAAATTTCTTTCTTTTTTTCTTCCTTGACCCAGGGGTGGTTCAGTAACTGACTGTTCAGTTTCCATGAGTTTGTAGACTTTCTGGGGTTAGAATTGTTGTTGAATTCTAACTTTATTCCATGGTGATCTGATAGTACACAGGTGATTACTACAATTTCTTTGTATCTATGGATGTTTGCTTGGTTACCAATTTTGTGTTCAATTTTTGGGACGGTTCCATGTGATGCTGAGTAGAAGGCATATACTTTTCTGTTTGGGTAGAATGTTCTATATATGTCTGTTAGGTCCATTTGGTTCATTACTTCTGATAGTTCTATTATTTCTCTGTTAAGTTTCTGTCTGGTTGACCTATACATTGGTGAGAGTGGAATGTTGAGATCTCCTAATATTAGAGTGTGTGGTTTGATGTATGCTTTGACTTCTAGTAATTTTTTTTTACATAAGTGGGTTCTTTTATATTACTCATAGGCATATAGGCATAGATATTCAGGATAGAGACTTCCTCCTGATGAATTGTTCCTGTTATGTGTTTAAAGTGTTCATCTCCATCTCTTCCAATTGATTTTAGTTTGAAATCTTTTTTGTTAGATATTAGTATAGCCACACCTGCTTGTTTCTTTGGTCCATTTGATTGGAAAACCTTTTCCTAACCCTTTACTCTGAGGTAGTGTCTGTCTTTAAGTTTGAGGTGTGATTCTTGTAAACAGCAGAATGTTGTTGGATCATGATTTTGTATCCATTCTCTTAACCTGTGCCTCTTTATAGGTGAATTGAGTCCATTGATATTAAGTGATATTAATGACCAATGGTTGTTAACTCTGGTTATTTTTTTCTGGTGGTAGAGTTTGTGTGCTGGTGGAGGGTTGTCAGATGCTTTTGTTATTATGGGTGTTGTTGGTTTCCTTGGTTTGTGATTTTCCTTCTAGTATTTTCTGTAAGGCTGGATTTGTGGCTATGTATTGTTTAAATCTGTTTTTGTCCTTGAATATCTTGTTTTCTCCATCGATGGTGAATGCAAGCTTTGCTGGATATAGTAATCTGGGCTTGCATCCATGGTTTCTTAGTGTCTGCAGTACATCTATCCAAGACTTTATGGCATTCATGGTTTCCATTGAGAAGTCAGGTGTAATTCTGATAGGTTTCCCTTTATATGTTACTTGACCTTTTTCTTTTGCAGCTCTTAATATTTGTTCTTTATTCTCTATGTTTTGTGTTTTGATTATTGTATGGTGAGGGGATGCTTTTTTTTTTGACCCAGTCTACTTGGTGTTCTGTATGCTTCTTATACCTTCATAGGAATATACTTCTTTAGGTTGGGAAGGTTTTCTTCAATAATTTTGTTGAATATATTTTCTGGGACTTTTGAGTTGTAACTCTTCTCCTTCTTCTACCCCTATTTTTCTTATGTTTGGTCTTTTCACAGTGTCCCAGATTTCCTGAATGTTTTGGGTTAAGAATTTGTTGTATTTGTTTTGTTCTTTAATCAGTGAGTTTATTTCCTCTGTATCTTCAGTGTCTGAGATTCTTTCTTCTATCTCTTGTATTCTGTTGATAATACTTTTTTCTTTAGTTCCTGTTTGTTTACCCAGATTTTCCATATCCAGCCTTCCCTTGGTTTGTGTTTTTTTCATTACCTCCTGATGACGCAGTGCGATCGGTAATGAAAAGTCCCCAGACTATCTTACAAAAGATACAGCTTTAATAAAAACAGAAGGAAAAACTTGCACAGAATCCCACCCGTCTGGAACGCTGGATCCAGGCCAGGTCGAGAGGGAAAGAGAGGGCGGGGGCTTTCATCCGCCAAGATTATAGGTAAACTTTTGCCTTAGGGCAACATGCCCCATGAACAGAATGTGACTGGCTGAACTCCCCTATCATCTCCCCCTTTTTTCTAAAATAAGACAGAACAAAACTAAAAACAACTATATACAAAGAAGCAAATAATAAATATAAAGTTACAAACAACAAACAATATTAAGCAAGAAACATATAACAAAAGTTTTACTAAACATTCTATTTTAAGGAGTCTAAATAATGTAGATGGTAACTACAACTATTTAATGTTTAACCCTATCAACGATCTGAAAAGGGAAATAATTTTACTTAAACAGCCCAGAAGTACAAGCGGGAAACTTCTGAAATGTGCAACAAATGGAAGAGACAACTGACTACCTGGGCTACCCAACTGACTGACCCAAATGGAAGAGACAACTGACTACCCAAAGTCTCGTTTGCAATGTTGAGTCAACCAACTTTGGCTCAGGCCTGATGTAACTGACATACCATTTAAAATGTGATTGGCTAAACTCCCCTATCAACCTCCATTTCATTTTTCAAGTCTTTAACTGTTTCCCTTACCTGTTTGATTACTTTTTCTTGTTTTTCTTGTTTTTCTTGGGTATCTTTGAGAGATTTATTCATTTCCTTTACCTTTTTGTTTGTCATCTCTATTTCTTTATGGCAGTTTTCCACCTCCTGTTTAAGGTCCTCTAATACTTTCATAATGTTCCGTTTAAAGTTGATTTCTTCTATTTCTTCTGGTGTAGGGTGTTCAATTCTTCTTGTTTCGTGATCCCTGGTTTCTGGTGATGTCATGTTGCCTTTTGGGTTGTTGGAGGAATTCTTGCATTGGCGCCTGCCCATCTCTTCCTCTCTGGATGGAACTCCTCAACACTGAAATAGGGACATTTGGTATTCCAAGAACACAGGAGACAGAAGTTGCCCCAATTTTTTAGTTCTCCTCTTCTGGTATGATATTCAGCTTTGTTCTTTTTTAGTGTGTGAGTGTGTGTGTGTGTGTGTGTGTGTGTGTGTGTGTGTGTGTGGTGTCTTTGTTTGCACACAGTCTTATAGACTTTGTAGCACATGCTTGGAAATTAACAGTGATCTTCCTGTCACTCTATCTGGACTGATGGTTGTAGAAGTTAACTCAATTTGGGAAATAACCAGGCTAGCTAAAAGATAAAACAATTATATGTTTATTTCTTATAAGAAAAAAACCCCATGCAACAGAAATGAGAAGTCCAAGCTCAGCTGGGCCTTGTGCCTGTTTTTCTCCTGGTCCCAGAAAGACACACCCTAACTTGGTCCCACCTCTTAAAGATAATTGGTTAACAATGCTTCCCCATTAGATGGTACTAAAAGAACACAATACTATGCACAACTGGAGAAATAACTTTTCTGTGTAATTCACTTCTTTTTATGGTTTGGTTGCGATTATATTTACAAATCTAATTTGAATCATTATTTTATGCGTATGGGTGTTTTTCCCATATGCACGTCTTTGTGTCCCCTCATGCCTGGAGTCCAAGGAGGCCAGTAGATCGTTTTAGAACACCTGTACTTCTATATCTACTGGGAATGGAACCTTGCTACTCTGGAAGAATCTCCACTACTTTTATCTGCTAAGGTATTTTTCCACCCAAGTTTTCTGTCCAAGGCAGCCGAATCATGGACAGCCTCCTGGTGCTAATTTAAAAGCCTTGAATTTTCTTCCAGGTGAGAGAATTAGCCTCAGGAAGGGGTTAAGTTTCTAGTTGGTTACCTAATACAGTATTGTCAGAGCATGAACTATAAAACTACACCTAATAAAACAATCTCATCTGATTGTATTCATCTATTTCAACATATTTGTTAACATACTTAACAGGAAAGACACTGGAAGGGAAATATTTGGGAAGGGCTGAAGTGAAGACAAAATAACGGAAAGTGATTTAATGTCTTTTAATGAAAATGTACAAAGAAAAAATTTTAATAAAAGAAGTGGATTGAGAGAGAGAATGGCTCAGCAATCAAGTGACCTGGGTGTTGTTACAGAAGACTCACGTTCCATTCCCAGACCCCATGTGGTAGCTAACCTGTTCTCAGGTTAAAATAGATCACTAGAACCAGTCATCTAATAACAGATAACTGATAGGTGACTCTTCCTTGATGTTTTCTGTGTTTGTGCTCTCTGTTCTTTGTATTTGGGGAATTGAGGCATTGGTACATTTAACTTTTTGATCTAACATTATAATTGATA